TTATACGCTTGCTACTTCTAAGGCTCATGTTTCCGAAACTATGCTGAGGTCGCTGTTCTGCCAAGACACCCACAACATGCTTACTCAGGCCCTCACAGTATGATTTAGAGGTTGGCATTTGATAAAAAGACAGACAGTGAAAAAAATTTAATTATCAATGTTTTTTTGCAAACTTTACCCTTTTACAAAAATTCCGGTTTCAACGTACATAAATCCAGCTTCTTACTTAAACTTCTCTCCTATCCACTTGACACTCTTCCACAACCCTCCTTCATTTGTGGGTTATATTCCTATAATTTACTTTAATTTTAGTGGTCAGTATGAATTTTGTCTTGAATTATCACTGTATTGTATTGACTACTTCAACATGACAGGTTAAGTCGTGCTTTGGTTATATGTATACAATTACCTTGTTGCTGCCTTTTTTCTCTTTCTTCCTTTTCAGAACCCTATTCACAGTGGAAAATCCATGGCGCCCCTATGGAGTATGCACCATATGTACACGCACGCCTAGATCACAGCTTGTATTAAGTGCCTTCCAAATGATCTTTCCGAACAAATTCATTACTGATCTAAGCAAACCACCCAAAAAACCTAATGTACACCTTCCCTATTTGTACTCTCCTATTGAAAATATGGTTGTATCAAACTTTTTCTGTCATTGGCATGGTGTAAATGTGCTATCAGACAATGACTCTTATACTTAAATTAACTGCGATAACTTTTGCAGTAAATGTGTAAGCATTTGTGAAAATTTGATCTAACCTGTAAACTGGTATGACTCGTAATGTACTGTTATTTCAGAATAAATATTAATATTATTAAACTATGAATTTCGGAAGATAATACATATATGTAGATGATCTTAAAATAGTATAAACCTATATGCCTGAAGATCTTGACGAAAATAAAGCCGGGATTCAATGTGACCTTTACAACTTATCTACCTGGAGCAAAACATGGCATTTCTAGTAGACAAATAAATTAAAATGTCTGCAGATGCTGCTCAACTATTTTCGATCACAAGAAACCCAAGCTATCCTGTATCATTGTGAGTTCCTCCTAGTTCATGCATATTTCCCCAATTAACTAACATTTCAACACCTTGATTTCTAACTTACTTGTCGCCTTACCAATTTTTAACACTAGCTTTATTCATATCTTTTCGTCAACAGCCTATCCTTCCCTTCTGCAAACTAACCATAAACTAACCAGCATCTTAAAATTTATGACATTCTTTAACTCAATAGCAGTGTAATGTAGTGCAATATGCAGAAGCTAAATTTGTCTGGTTCTTTTATAAGATGAAGCTAGTAGAGAGAGTGTATTCCGTCAATGTGTGCAAAAAATATAACTTAGACTAAAACATTTAATAAAACACCACAAACTTAAGAAAGCCCAACACCACAAACGGGGAGAGATTGGTGTATCTGACCAACAATCTCGACGTTGGGGCAGTAACCTCAACCTACCTATGTCTATGGGGCTCCAAACAATACAGCAGGATGTAACTAACAAATGATACTGATGTTGCATTCCCATGTCAACCACGTTTACGAGTCATGTTTGCATCTTTAAACTAGTTTCACTTCCTACCAAGAAATCCTACTACAAACTACCCTGGGAATTTATATTCAAGGGAGTTCATTCGTGACTTCTTAGGCATAAGATAAAATTTCCTAGTATACCCCCTCACGGTTCACAACCAGAAACATTTCTATTTTTTATCTGTGTAAATGAGCTTCCTCAACAAATATTGTTTAAATAATTACTTTCAAGTGAGTGAGGTTTGCAGTCAAGTTGAAAAGCTTAAACCTCAGGAGGATCTAACTCGACTTCGTAGTTGGGCAAATGATAATGGATTTATTTCTAGCACTTCAAAATGAACAGTAGTTTACCTGAGAAAGATTGAGGTAGTGAAGAATCCGGAGGAGCAAACGCAAAAATGGGTGCACCTGCGCCGTTGTAAACGGTTTTGAGCCATGCCGTTAAGGGTCTCTAACCATCTGTTACTAACATCTAGACTACATGTTGGAGCTTTCAATGTACGGACATTGTGTCAAATAAGGCAACAAGCCTCCTTAGTTAGGACTTTAGAACCTAGTGCCATCGATGTATGCTGCGTCTCGGAAACGCGCATACAGGATCCTAGTAAAGTTATTAATCTGATTTCACCTTATCAAAATAAAGAAGCACCCCGATTTACTCTTCTGGAAGCCCTGATTCTGCTTCACGGGGTCTCGTTGGTGTAGGTATAGCATTGAGTCGTAGGACAGAACTAACTCTCCTAGACTGGATCCCAGTAGATAGTCGCTTGTGCGCTGTCCGACTGAACGGGACAGTAAGGACTCGGAAGGATAGGCACACCCGTCGTTGCCTCTTCCCAAGTCCCCACTGACTGCAGTTCAGACAAGGTGAAAGATGAGTTTTACAGAAAGCTTTCGGACCTCCTCCAAAAATCTAGGCGCTCTGATATAGTAATAATGGCTGGTGACTTTAATGCTCAAGTAGGTAGACTGAGTGAAAGTGAAAGACACCTTGGTGGATGTTATGGTGTCGCGTCTCAGAGAACAGACAATGGCTACCGTCTGTTGCAACTATGCTCAGATAACCGCCTATTTCTAGCAAACACTAATTTTAGGCACAAGGAAAAGCATCTGTTGACCTGGCGACCCCCGAAGTCGTCTCAACGTTGGACCCAACTTGACCACATCGCCATCAGCCACCGATGGAGGGGTTCGATAGAGGACTGCCGCTCGTTGTGGGGCATATGTTTAGATTCAGATCATGCCCTAATGCGAGCGCGTATCTGTTTGAGGCTTACTGTCTTCTTGTGACAATCACAGGGAAATAAGTCTAACTAATATAGTATCTAAAATATTGGCCTCGATAATACTTAGGCGTCTAACTAGAGCTCGTGAAGAGCAGACTAGAGAAAACCAGGCTGGTTTTCGACCTGGATGTGGATGTATAGACCACATCTTCACACTACGACGGGTCCTGGAACACAGACACACATTTAGGCGTCCTACAATAGTTGTCTTCCTGGACCTTAAGGCGGCATTTGACTTTGTCGATCGTGAGGTTCTGTGGCAGTGTCTGTCATTGAGAGGTGTACCAAAGAAGTACATTAACCTCATACAAGCTCTCTACTCGAACACCACTGGTCGAGTGAGATATTATGGCGAACTGTCATCGGAATTCATTACTTCAAGTGGTATTCGTCAGGAATGTCAACTTTCCCCATTCTTGTTCAATTTTGTCATAGACATGCTGCTAGATATTACTTTATCTTCATCCCACTTTTCAGGAGCAGACCTTTTACCAGGAGGCTCGCTTAGTAAATGTGCCGGTGACATAGTCCTACTTGGTGAAGACGCTGACAAAATGCAGCGTCTTCTGACCACCCTAAGCAACTATGCGTGCATGTTCGGGATGCGGTTCTCACCCTCGAAACGCAAAATGTTGCTTTAAGACTGGGTGAAGTAGTCGAACGTGTAGACCGCTTCACTTATCTGGTTAATCTCAACAGTGCTGATGGCCTGGTACTTACTTACTTACTCACGCCTGTTACCCTCAATGGAGCATAGGCCGCCCACCAGTTTTCTCTTCGTCTAGTGACTGACGAAATCTCAGCTCGAATACAGAAAGCTCGATTGGCTTTTGCCGACGTGCATCACTTATGGCGTAGGCGACATCCGTTAGCTGACTAAAGGACGAGTGTACTGCGCAGTAGTTCTCTTCGTCCTACTTTATGGCTGTGAAACATGGCCAGCGAGAGTAGATATTCGTAGGTTACTGGTTTCCGATCATCGGTGTCTCCGAAGCATTGCTCGTATATCCTGGGACACCCGAGTGAGCAACGCTGTTATTAGGAAACAGGTGCTAGGTAAGAATGGCAGATCAATAGATGAAGTGCTGAAACTTCATCAGTTGAACTGGTTGGGACATGTGTTGCGTATGCCTAAGAGTTGACATCACCTACACGGCGGCGTAACTGTCTTTCTAGATGTTCATGAAATATGTTTTTAGCTATGCTATCATTAAGCAGTACCCTAGGAATTTTCCTCATGGTGTCTTTCTTACATCCAATAAGCCGCAAACAAATATGCACTCACACCAGAGCCTAACCTGAATCTAAACACATGCTCAAGAACGGGCGGTAGTCTTTTGTGGATCGTCTCCACCGGTAGCAGATCGTGGTCTAGTTGGGATTTCCGAGCAAACCTTGCACTAGTAACGTTAAACCGCATCTTTGGTCAGTTTGATGACAGAACGTTTCATCTAATCTTTTAAATCATTAATCAGCACCACAGAATTAGGAAATATAAAGTTCTCGTCATCATTCCAAAAAGACAAGTAAACACAGGAATTACTTCGAAGCCAAGCCACGCAATCTGTCCAAGTACTCAAATTCAAGTCTTTTGAGGAGTATCTTAAGTCACCAGAACTTTGCCTGTTAACGTACAGCCGTCTCAGAGGTGACCTAATGGCACATTGCGTTCTTAACTCTGCTAAAATAGTTACTAGAGCTCATTCTCAACATAAACCCGAGGCGGAATAACAAGGAACCAGCAGCACAACATAGCAGAATGGACTGTAGGCACACAATATACTTTAATAGAGTAGCCAAACACTGGAACTCTTATCAGATGAGGCGGTCCAAGTGACTTCCCTGGAGTCATTTATGAGGACAAAATCCAATAATAATTCACAATTGTTTCTTGTTTGCATGGCAAATATACTTAGGTTCACCCCAAAGGCATCGGTGACCTACCAACATAAGATACGGAAGCCTTTATAGCGAAATCTTCTTTTAGACCGTCCACATCCACTTGGAACACATACAATTCGTATTCGATTACCGCATTACATCGAAAATATCCGTTAACCAATAAAAAATTTCGATTCAATCAGGTCTGATATGGATTACAAATAGGGAACATGCTTACATCAAAACATGAAATAAATCATTTGAACAGAATGTCACGAAATATGCGCTAACTGATAAAACTGTACAGAATAACACTGAGCAATAATAAATAATAAACATTATTCAGATGAAGTCCTCTGAGTTGCGATCCACTGTTTTTACTATCACAGTGTGACTTATTCGCGTAAGGTCCGACACAAAGTGAGTACATGGTTGCGTGAGCAATAAACGTATTATCCAATGAAGAATGAAATAGTTCACTGAAAGGTCCATTAGCGTAAATTGGTACATCCTCAGCACTGTGTGTAGAAAACTTGAATCTCACCAATGATTGTGGTGTGTAGTCGTCTGCAAATCTATTTTCTGTTGCCGGATCTATTCGTGGTCCTTCCAATATACCTTCAGGTCCATTGAAATAGGAGGATATGAGATACGATTTATTATCGTTTCCCTGTAGCACAAAAAGAAAATTATTTTAGATAATTCTATCGCACTACATGCAGAATGTTTTGTCAGATGGTCGACTTTTATTGTGTGTCACACAGTAATTAGATTCATGATATTTCCAGGTTATTGTGGAGTAGATTCACTAATGACACGGATGATTTTTTCTTTTGATTAAAAGTAAAGTAACATTTCACCGATCTCATACATAGTACTGTCGTACAATATGAATAAGTGATAAGCAGAAAATAGGAATGCTGCAAATATGAATAATTCATGCTATTTCACTTGAATTGTTGTTCCTGGTTGATGCGAATCGGTCGATTTCGACATCTACAAGTATTCGAACCGTCAAATCCTCAATTCTCACAGATGGTGAGTTATGTGATGAATGAACTAGTTTGCCTACTAGCTGCACTGGAAAATCTGAATGACTTCACATCGAGACTTTGTAACTGACAGTTGAGTTCTGTCACATTGATGTGAATGTTGTTTCATCCTATTAAGCAATCGATCACTTTAAAAAAGCTTCCTTCTCAACCCACTTCAACTAGTTGAAGGAGGCAATCAAAGGTAATGTGACGAATCCTATCATCCGCTTTATACGCTTTGATAAATGAAGTGATTTCGTTATTCACTAACCAGTTATTCATGTGACCTGATGAGATTACTCAACACCACGGATCAACAAACTACTAACTAGTTACAGTGTTGGCTTCACAATGGTGCTCTTTGTGGAGCACACTAACGATCGAATGTAAAGTGTTATTGTCTTCAGTTGAGTGAGCGCATTACTGTTAGGTTGCAGATGCAAAGTCCAACGAATCACATTCTTCTCGGAGCCTTGTAGGTGCACACTGTCAAAGTGTTCCACTTTAGGACAGAGCAGTTGTTCAATCTGTCCTAGTTTTCGAGGTGTCTTATTCGGTATCAACTCGTAACAAAAACCCACTTCAATCTGACCAAATATCCACGAACATCTCAACCGAATGGAAATTGTTGATTCGTCGAATCGTTGTGAGTATTTCTAGCCTGAGAAATGATTGTTTCTTTATACGTGAACTCTTGTTTTTGATCTTATTGTTGACAATCCTTTCATTTAGGTTCCAAACTGCCAATCATGATGTAGCTCCGATAATGTTATCCAGTACCTTAACTAAGTTCAGACTAGTTGGTTATTCGTGTATGTTTTGTTTAGATTTCGTTGAATATTGTGCGTAGAACCATTGTGTGTCTAGCAATCAACATGTATGATTTGCATGAATCCCAGCTGTTACTATTCATGTATTCCGGCTAAATTTGCGATAATTGAGACTTGACAGACAATAGGAGTTCGAATTCTCAACTATTACACACATATCAATTACTTGTAATTTCATGTGTGTCGATAGGACACCGTGTCCTGTATATACAACTAATTAAAACTGAAATAGAGTTAACACTCACTTTAGCAGTGTTATCCACATCGAATACACTTGTGTTTCTTGTCGGATAACCAACCAGACCATAAACATGAGAGTGATCTGCTGTTACTATTAGTAAAGTTTCTTTTTCATCAACAAGTGACAGTGATTTCTCGATCGCTTTTTCGAACTCCAATGTTTCAGTTAACGCGTATCTGCGAATAGCATGAAATTAAAAAACAATTGTTTGTTCATTTTATTCAAAACATGATTAATACGTAGGAGAAACTTTAATAAAAAGCATTAGACTTACAATGTTTAGTCATAGATTTAGGTGCAATCTATTTTCAGCTTAAAATGATAATACTTGTCATCACCATGCATATTTGGTATGATGAGCTCTTAGCTCATACTCTTGACCGCCTTGTCACTTCACAGTGACATCTATACTTAACAGCCACCATAGATAACAGCCATTCGGATCTGTATTAACCTACACATTTAATCATAGCCCTTGAGAGAGGGAGAGAGACAGCAAATTCAGTTTTAGTGATTTTGACATCGTTTATTCTTCAACTTGTAGGATCTCATCGTTCATTTCTTTTTTCATTCAGTTGGTTAACAAGTTAACCTAGTCATATATCGCCCTAAACTAAACCAGAAATTTAATACATCTTTGTGGTCTATGAAAAAGTTTGTAAAGCTTGAAGAGATTTTTCATTAAAACTGATGCATATATACCATGGATCGCATACATCTGTAACCTAAGGAGTGCAGTCATCAATACAGATTGAGAGGTTTTTAATGACCATGATAGTCGTTAAATTTTTACACAATTTATCTTCTTTCAGTGAACTTAAGTAATTCTAAGAATAAAGCTTTTGACAATGTCTTTTGTTAGCGAAATAAATAACTTTTAGTGTTTTGATTGAACGGCTAAGAACAAGATAGACAGAAAATAACTGTATACATTTATTGGATTAGTTTCATATCGAATTGTTCCCATCATTATTCTATAACAGCAGTTTAACCTGGATGGTATACTTACTGAGCAGAGGATGTAGGAATTTACTTATATAGAAATATATTGAATTCACTGATAACTGAATAGTCAGGACATCAAAACCTTGTTATCCCTAAGTAATCCTTTAAGAATTCCACCACCCACCTAACTACTTACCGGTGTTTGAAATGTTGATTCAAGCTGTTACCGTTCTTATGGTGACCAGCAGACCTTTCAACTTACCATCAATTTATACGTTTTATGTAGTACGACTTACTATGTGATGTATTTGATTGTTATCACTGACTCACAAATTGCCTTGAGTAGTTAAAGGCCTTTATTGTATTAATCTAGACATTATTTTACAGTAGAGTTAAGCATGATCAAGATCAAACTGAGAACAATATCTTTAATCAAAATAGATTTGAATAATATTGATCAAATATCAGTTATTTGAAAAAACAGATATTTTTATTCATACTCTTTCGCATACTTTCGCGTAGCTCAATTCCTCTTACAAGACAGCAACTAACAGTCCTCTCCCTTGATGACCTTTTAGTTATTAACTGATTACTTTTATTACTGATTAGAAATGATGAATCATGGTTAATTAACAACCTATTGTTGTTGTGATTTATCTATCCCGCTCATCGTAACACAGCAGGCTCCACCATATCGGAGATGCATTAATAATGTAAACTACAATCGCTCACAATATGATCATTATCTAGTGTGTAAGACGAATAACATAAAATGTTAGCAACATTTACTTAAAACATTAAGTGGCAAACAAGGATAGTAACATACACTATCATTTTGTACTTTGCCAATGCATACAACTATTTGCATTCTATTTCAGTAGACAATCTATCAGAATGATCACAGTAGATACAATTCAGTATCAGGTTTTATTACTGAATTTAACAGTTGAGTATGACTCAGAGTTAGATGTATCAGTGCAATTTCAGAGTCAGTGGATTATTTTCAAATCAGATGTATTATTCTCATTCATTATTAGTGATATGGTGAAAGAGGGCCGAAAATGTAATCCGGATAGAACGTATATCAAGAACCCAATTTCGTATTCGAACAAATAGCTATAAAATACCTACATCTCTTATATCAAAGAAAAATAGCAGTCTAACTGAGAAAGTAATTTTAGCAGGGCAAATATTTGTAACATTAACACCAATAATAGTAATAAACTTTTTACTTTGCCTTATTAACGTGATGGCCATGATCAATTCTACCTCCTTCTACTAACAAAAGGTATCCTTTAGGGTTACGAGACAGTATTTTGATAGCAGCTTCTGTCATTTCTGTTAAACTTGGTTGGTCTACTTTTTGAAGTGTATAATTCAGATCACTCGGAGCAAATAAACCTAAAAGTTAAAAAACAACGATAGATCTCAATGAAACATGATAAAATAAATGATATCGGTAGTAAGTGAGTATCTGTTTGACTAATCTTACTTTTACTTACTTACGCCTGTTGCCCCCAATGGAGCATAGGCCGCCCACCAGTTTAAGCCAGCCAACTCTGTCCTGGGCTTCTCTCTCCAGTTCTGCCCAATGTTTGTTCATTCCTCTCATATCTTTCTCTAGTCCTCGGCTTAGTGTGTTCTTTGGCCTTCCTCTTTTCCTTTTGCCTTGACGGTTCCATGTGAGGGCTTGTCTCGTGACGCAGTTAGGTGCTTTTCGTAGTGTGTGTCCTATCCACTTCCACCACTGCTTCCCGATTTCCTCCTCCACTGGAACCTGACTTGTTCTCTCCCACAGTTCGTTGTTGCTGATGGTGTCTGGCCAACGAATACGAAGTATTTTGCGTAGACAACTGTTAATAAACACTTGTATCTTCTGGATGATGGATTTGATAGTTCTCCAAGTTTCCGCTCCATACAATAGAACTGTCTTGACATTTGTATTGAAAATCCTGATTTTGATTTTGGTTGAAAGTTGTTTGGAATTCCAGATATTTTTCAACTGTAGAAATGCAGCCCCTGCTTTGCCGATCCGCGCACTCACATCTGCATCGGATCCACCTTGGTTGTCGATGATGCTGCCAAGATATGTAAAGGTGGTAACGTCCTCCAAGGCATCTCCATCAAGAGTGATTTGGTTGGTGCATGTTGTGTTGCATCGGAGAAGTTTGCTTTTTCCTTTATGCATGTTGAGACCTACTGCTGCAGAGGCTGCTGCTACACTGGTCGTCTTCTCTTGCATTTGTTGTTGAGTATGCGATAGAAGAACCAGGTCATCTGCAATTTCCAGATCGTCCAGCTGCGTCCTAACTGTCTAGTTGATACCGTGCTTCCCTCCAGACGTCGACGTCTTCATAATCCAGTCGATCATCAGGAGAAAGAGAAAGGGTGAGAGTAAGCAACCTTACCTGACACCGGTCTTCACCTCGAAAGAGTCTGTTAGCTGTCCTTTGTGTACGATTTTGCAGTTGAATCCATCCTAAGAATTCCGTATGATGTTAACTATTTTCTCAGGCGCACCATAGTGTCGAAGAAGCCTCCACAGTGTTTTCCTATCCACGCTGTCGAATGCTTTCTCGTAGTCGATGAAGTTGATGTAGAGTGGTGAGTTCCATTCAATTGATTGTTCCACAATGATCCGTAATGTAGCAATTTGGTCAGTACACGATCGATCCTTACGAAATCCGGCCTGTTGATCTCGAAGTAGGGCGTCTACGAAGTCCTTCAATCTGTTTAACAATACTCTGTTGAAGACTTTGCCCGGTATTGAAAGAAGAGTGATGCCCCTGTAGTTCTCACACTTGCTGAGATCACCTTTCTTTGGTATTTTGATCAGGTATCCTTCTTTCCAATCTGATGGTACTTGTTCCTCACCCCAAATCTTCTTGAAGAGGATGTGAAATATTTTCGCAGTTGCTTCTACATCTGCTTTCATTGCCACTGCTGGAATGTTGTCTGGTCCTGCTGCTTTGCCGTTCTTGATTTGTCTGATGGCCGCACTGATCTCCTCAATCGTAGGTGCGCCAATATTATTTGGGAGGTCCGTGGATGCTGGTTCGATGTTGGGTGGGTTCAGTGGAGCTGGTCGATTCGATAGTTCCTTAAAGTGCTCTACCCACCTATTTCTCTGTTCTTCAGTGTTGCTGATTACTTTGCCTTCCTTACTTTTCACTGGTCGTTCTGGTTTACGATAGTTTCCGGCGAGCTTCTTTGTTGTTCCGTACAATTGTCTCAAGTTTCCTTCTCTTGCAGCCTTTTCCGCCGTCATTGCTAGATCTTCCACATATTTTCGTTTGTCAGCTGTGATGCTCTTCTTCACTTTCCTGTTTGCTTTCGTGTATGCAGCTTGTGCCTTAACTTTCTCTGCTCTTGTTCGGCTGACATTGATTGCTGCCCTCTCGTTCCTGCTTTCTTCAATTTTTGCAAGAGTATCAACAGAGATCCAGTCCTTGTGATGGTGCTTCTTGCGACCAAGGACCTCCTGACATGTTGAAGTGATGGCTTTCTTAATCCTTTTCCAATTGTTCTCCAATGTTGCTTCCTCTTCATTGAGTAGTTCCTGAAAGGCCTGGAACTTATGGGTGAGGGCTATCCTGGATTCGTTGAGTTTTAAAGTATCCCGCAGAAAGGCCGTATTTAACCTCTGTGATGTTGTCTGCCCCGTTGTCCAGTGCTTCTTTAGTTTCAGTTTCATTTTAGCGATCAGCAAATGGTGATCTGAAGCTATATCAGCTCCTCTCCTGGTTCTCACATCCTCCATGGTCCTTCTGAACGTTTTGTTGATACAGATATGGTTAATTTGGTTTTGAGTAGTGTGGTCTGGTGAAATCCATGTGGCTTTGTGAATGCGTTTGTGCGGGAATATTGTGCCACCGATGACCAGTTTGTTGAAGGCACATAGGTTTGCAAATCTCTCACCGTTTTCGTTCCTTTCTCCCAGTCCATGTCGTCCCATGATGTCTTCATATCCAGTGTTGTCCATTCCAACCTTGGCATTCAGGTCTCCCATTAGAATCGTCATATCCTTCGGTGAACATTTCTCGACGATTGACTTCAGCCTTTCGCAGAATTGATCTTTAACGTCGTCATTGTAGTCATTGGTAGGTGCATAACATTGGATGACGTTCATTGTAATGTCCGCTTTCTTTCTTTTGAGCGATGCTTTAATGGTCCTGGGTCCATGAGATTCCAATCCTATTAGTGCCTTTTGTGCTTGTGTGGACAGCATCAGTGCAACTCCTTGTGTATGTGAAGCATTTTCCTCTTCATGACCAGAGAATAACAGCAGTTCCCCTGAAAAAAGTCTCAGTTGTCCTACCTGTGTCCAATGTGTTTCACTGATGCCGAGCACCTCGAGGTTGTATCTTTTCATTTCTGCCGCAACTCGAAATGGTCTTCCAGTCTCCCACAATGTACGAACGTTCCATGTACCTAAAAAGATGGTTGCTGTGGTTGTCAGAAGAGGCATCGGCCTCGTGACTTCCGAGGGAACTCGGCTTTCATCACGCGACGTCATAATTCTTCTTCCAACTCCCAGGGCAGAGTTAAAATTGTTTGAATTATTTTTTTCTGGTTAGCGTTTTTTTGGCAAATTAGATTTTGACGGAATGAGGTCTCCAACCCCATGTCCAACCCTCCTCCTTTATCCGGGCTTGGGACCGGTAGTAGCCGCTAAGGTTCACTGGCGGAGTTTGTTGGACTAATCAGCACACAATTTTATCTGTAAGTAAACCTTAAAAGGATGAAACGAATCACTAATCCAATAAATAAGAAAATTACTGCATTGACAGTCATTTACTAAACAGGATACTGAGAGATGTAAGAATAAGAGTCGGTATGTTTTCGTACCACAGAATGTTACTGATATTCACTAATGCCGTCTGATTGCTAACTCGTCATTTGGACATCTGTTCACGTAATGAATCCATGGTCGTGGAAAGTCTTAGATAAATAAACAAAAGAGGGGAACTTATTTCCGCAACACAATAGTGATTCAAAATTTGATTATCATATAGCACACAAAATGATGCTCATATCAACTTTTGAAGACTGCTTAAGACCATTGTTTTTACAATAGGAAGCTCTTCAGAAAACTTTATAAATGAACGGAGATGAATTACAAGTTATCGCTGATTATTGGCTGATACACAAAACTAACGAGATAACAACAACAAAAGCAATAAAACACTGCATGTATAAACTTAGGAACAAAAATGACTTACCTAGAACATAGTCTACCGAGGACCAATTTGTTTGTTTAAACTCATCGGTCGTATGCAGAAGAACATGCTTACGTTTCATTCTGGTTTGCATCGTTTTCCATTCACGAAGGAGGTTGCGTGAATCAGACCGCCTTCCTTTCATGTCGAAAGCGAGAGTGTCTGATTGGCCATAGAAATTTGTTGCTCCTCCTCCCATTATGACGTTGACATCAACAGCGTTAGTGAGTAATTGTGCAGCAGCGTCTGTGCACTTCAGTCCCTGCTTGCTTATTGCTCTAAGTGTAAAATAAGAGAAATAAGCGATTGGGAATGTGATGAAAGCAGTGCTTCGTAGTAACACTAAAAAAAAATGAAGATATGGATTTGGTTCCATCTAATTAGGAAATAGTAGTGTGTGAGACAACTAAAGTACTACACATTGTATAGTGTGGATAAGTAATCACCGAGGTAGTAAATGTTAAATACAGGTCAGTTTATTTTGATTTCATTACAGACTGACGGAATTTATGCCATGGCTTTCAGACTGAAAATGTATGATGTTTTTTGTTCTATGTCATCGAACACCAGCACTAGTGCGTGAAAACCTAACAACTAAAAGGATGTAGATGTGGCAAGTTATAACTCTTGTTTGTTGCTTTGATCAGGTTTTCCGGCAGTCACCATAGGCAACTGTTGCTCCCAACTCTTTAAGTCTTTTCGACCACCAAATTTCCCTATGTGCACACGTTACTCAATGTTATGGGGGGCTTTTTTCAATCGGTACTACATTTTATCGAGTTCTGTCTTCACATTTACTGAGAACGAATTCAACTAATCGTTGGAATTTTCTGATTCTTTCTCTGGACTCGAATACAAACTCACTATTCTCTAAAACACAAAAGAATAAGGCTCTAGACCAACGAAATGAATATATATCATTTTACCATTTTATCTAAATGAGTGTTGTAACTTGATATAACATAATTAGCGCATTACTTTTCAGAACATAACATTGATTTAACTAGTAAGCCTTTATATTTCTGCTGAACTCAATCAACAGCTGAAGCAAATGAATCTCAAGTTGTAAGCATATTGTTCACTTTCTCCTCATAAACGACAGAATATACATAGAAGGAATCAACTGTAACACTGTCTTTTTATCTAAATGTTGAAAACGCATACAGATCTAATTCTCGACTACAGTAGCAACAACCTAAGAACTCAGAAAACCAATTGCGTAGAAAATTTGTCCAAGAGAGTGAAAGCACACTACACTACACATGAAGCTCAAAAAACGATGAAAAATATCTGATGACTGTCGGCCAAAAAACGACTATCCATTCAAATTCATCGAAAAAAGATTAACTGAAACCATCAACAGAAGCGAAATCAAGTACAGGAATCAACAAACGGATCATCCTACCATACATAAAAGTCATATTGGAAATTACAGCACTAATACTGAAACCATATGGAGTAGGTGTAGCACACATCAACAGAATCACCTACTATGTAAACCAAAGGACAAACTGACAAAAGAAGAAACACCAGATATCATCTACAAAGAAAACTGCTCAGACTGTGAATAACCTTACAGAGGATGAAATGGAGGTCCTCTTCAGCTTCGTCTGTGTAAACACGAATTAGCTGTCAAACGCCATGACATTTCTTACCTTATTTCAATTCTTACGGACATACAATTCCATTGGAACATTGTTGAAATACTGCATAGAGGGGGTACAAAGAACTCCAGAGAATTTTCAGAAGCAGGGTACTCAAGTCAACACTTATCAACCAATCAGAAAAATCATAAGCAAATATAGGATCAAGAAACACATCAAAGGGAGATATTATTCAAATAAAGGTTCAGACAACGACAGCTTTAAAATTAATAATAACCAATCAAGATAGAGGTCAACAGAACAATCTAAGTCATACACGGAGAAATTCGAATAATTAACTTCTACCCGAAGTTTGTGTAGATGATTCATTTTCCACTAATCATCACATCAGAAGCTGAGGAAACTAATAGACAGATGAATATTTGTTTATTCAAATGGAAGTAAGTGTGATTTTTTTAGTGACTGGTCACTAATTCTGAAATGCGTATATCTAGTCAAGAAGATTGTGGTAGTGAGTATGTGGTGTGAGCTACTTATAAGTAGTATATGACGTGAGCGTCAACGTAATGTCTGGCAGCCGAAGATGAGGAGAGATCAAGAAAGGAAGAGTTATAAAACAATGGAATTTGTATGAAACGCATGAATAGTGACAATGGATTGATGTTTTGCAACAGGAACAGTCCAGTTCGATATGATGAACTGTTATTTTGCAAATGAACTATTTACGATATGGTTTTCCGATTTTACTGAGTAACTCTGTAATTTTCGTTAAATACAATTCGGTTACCCCACCTGTGTTCTCGTTCACTACAAGTGGTGTATGTCTTTGACAATACGATTTATAATTTCCTTTAACTAGCACGTCCGCAAATTATGGATACAAAGCCAAATTACCGTTTTGATGGACAAACATTTATTCAACATTTTATTCTTGATTTTACTAAGGGAAACCCCAGTTCGTTTCACCTGTTATGGGAAAAACTGTTTTCTAATAATAATGCTTTTTAGTTTGTGGTATTTTGACATAACACACAACACACTATCTGTAAGTAGATCTGATTACAACAAAACTTGTACGCATTATCTATGTAATTCACCACATTGAAAATGCACATAAGCATGAAAAAGTGTTCAAATTACTTTTCACTTACCCTTTCGACTCCCAATTTCGATGTAATATATTTGCATATGCTGCTGCGGGTGTTGCATGAGTAACTCTCGTAGTTGTAACTATCCCAGTGGATAATCCTGCTTTCGAAGCGTACATGAGAGAAGATTTCGCCTTTTCTATCTCTTTTAACTGAGTGCATTCACAGCACTTTACTGTCCCTGTGATACCAACAGTGCCATCAGGACCCTTAACACCTGAAAATGTTTTACAATCAACATAAGATTTAGCTAAAATTACTCATCATTTCGAACAACAGAGAACTAAATTGCAAAATCTCTGCCCAGCAGATTTCATATCAACATTCCTTTGAATTACACCAATGAATTTTGAAAATCGAAATCTACACTTAACCTTCCAAAATCTTGGTCTGCATGCCAGAAAATATGTTGCATGTTTGAAGTATAATTTAACTCAACTGGATATTCTAAAATCTTTACTTCACTATATTTCCGATTATTGACAGATATCAAATGGTAAACTCTGTAGAAGTATCACTGTACATGTGCTAATCGCCTTTAATAAAACTCATGAGTTGTCAATCAGATGCAAAATTTCCTTCTATCACATGAAGGACAACATCAGTGAATCACTGGAACGGTATATCATAATTTGCAGTTAATGATTTCAGACAATTTAGAATGATCATCACTATTAATGAATAATTAACCCATTTTCTAATTGACTGGTTCCATAAGCTTAGACCTCTCACATGAACTCTGGATGAAACCATAAGAAAGTAACCCATGAAGATGTTGTGGATAATAATTTTCATTTCATTTCGCTTCCTCAAAGTAATGAGATGACGAACTATCTAGATTATTATAACTAGCCAAAGTAGAGAACAATCTTCATCAGTAATTATGCGATCATCAATTATTCGATAATCACAACCACATGGTTCATAATAACAATCTTACAGGTAACATCAGTCAAACGTTTATCTATTCTCCAGATTCCACCTACAATCACTAAATGAATCACAGAAACAGCTTAGCAACTGACACTAGTTACAGAGTAGTAACTGTCAAAACATTTTCATATGCATCTGATTTCACAAGCTTCAAATAAACTAATAAGTGTGTTGTCAATGAAACGATTCGTTTTGTATTACACAGAACATGTATAGTTGGTTGGTTATAGGTGAGTTAAAACATGACAATGTGATTTCATTAAGACATCTCACCAGAAACACTACTTCAAACAGTCACTTACCTGATAGAAAGGCAGTGGCTGCAGAACCCGAATCTGTTGTTAGCCTGTCTGAGTTGAATGTGCGCACAAGTGATGCGACAGGCCAGTTCTCCCATACTAATTGTACATCACCACCCAGAAGATTCATTTGCTCCGCTTTCAAATATCTTGCTCCAGTAACAGTACTCAAACTCATACCATCACCAATAAATAGGATGACATTTTTAGGTCGTTTGAGTAATAAGTAAGGTAGTGTTTGTTCAAATTTATTGAATCGCTCATCTGCTAACCTCTTCCAAGTTTCAGGATTCGCTACATCCAACGATGACGATCTGCACTCGATTTCATACTGTAATAGCCCAACTACTAGTAAAAATATTAACGGTTTCTGAGCCGTCGATAAAACAATCGGAAGCATAGTTTTATGCTACGAGATTTACGTATTTGGTCGGTTGATTTGGTTTATTTAAATACTGTTTTATGCACCAAACGTTTTTAATATTTGATCAAGCACGGACTTCTGATTGGCCTGTTTTTCAACTGCTTAACAAATAAATAGATATTGTCTATTCCAACCATTCACACTGCTCACACCACATCAATTGTTGTTAATTCTAATGGGCCAGTTTGATTGATGTTGTGCTAAATGAGCTATATCAAACTGTTGATTATCGGGAACAGTGACATCAGTTTATAAGTCAAAATTAAGTAAATTCATATTTTTATACACTAGATACTACTGTTTGTTGAAAACATGTTTTAATGTTGATAAACGTTTCCATAATGAAAAATCCTAAATTTACTTGATGTATTTTTATAGTTACGATTAAGAACTGAATGTGGATATGCTAGGCCAGCTACTGAACTCCCACATATAACAATGACACTCAAAAGCTAGTAATCTTCTCAGCATTAAAGTCAACTTGATTGTATTCTATGATTATAAACGAGAAACGAATCATTCATTATAATATTTCAAAATGTTCTACAAGGAATCGTACATGAAACAACTTTAATAAATGTTAGACAAATTATTAGAGGTTTGTATCACTGTTCCAATGTCAGTCGTGAACTTTACAGTCAATCTCATACAGTTAAAGTTTGGATAAATAAACAAATTATATTATGAGAATAATTACAGAATGTATGCCGATTTACAGGTGTTATCATCTCAATGAACTTCTCAAAGACGGAGAGTATGGTGTTGTCAGAAATCAATCCAAATCTGTTCACAACAAAACACGAGATTTACTGTGACCAACTCAGTAAATTGTTTTAGTAGTTAAAAAAACAGTCCAACAATTCACATAATATCAGTATAGTAACTTTATTTGAAGTCCATAATCTTAAGCTTATTGCACTTTCTTCATTAACATGGTATATAACTGATTTGAGTAAGAATACATCACAGTTCCACTCATTTCAATAGTTGAAAAATACAATGTTTGTTTTCAAGTATTGAAGATGGTATCCCGAACCATTTCAAGTAGCAGTCGGTTTATTTTTCTAGTATTATATTATCAGGATATATACAATATGCAATATATTCTTGCTGTAATATTCTAAATTACATAAGACACTAAATGGTTCTATTCTTGAACTGTCAGTGACACATAAATACTCAGTCACTTTGAAAGCTATTTTAACTTTTTCTTGTTCATCTTTCGCCAAACAACCTGCAACATACTTCTCATTTCTTGATAGATAGTCTCAATCGTTTTTTTAACAATTAGATGTTGTCCTGAGTTAAAATTGAAATGGATAAATGTTCATAGTACCAAAACTAAGAATAAATTACTGATCAATCCTGTTCTGTTTGCTTTTCGTCTCCTCTTTTACATATTACAAGTCTTACTTAGTAAATAAAACGATTTGTAAATTAGGGATGACCTATTTAAACGAAGTCCGGAGTCCACTTTATGGGTTCTAACAGCCCTGAGTCTGTGCAAAATGGGATAACTGAGAGTGACATTGGTAAGTCCATTCTGTAAAACGAAACCTAACAACAGCAAAAAATTAGCCAAAGAAGACCAAGTAAACTCAGTCCTACGAGTTGGAGGGTCTTCATAGTAAGGGTCGATTTCTTTCAGAAGCTCCGAAGATGTTAGCTCTTTTGACTATCAGAGAAACCATCAATAAAGGTAAATGAAATGGGCTAAGGATCTCGGAGATCTGAAGGGGGATTCAAACAGCAACAAAAATGAGAAGATAAAAACTGCATGTGATTAGAATAAGTGTAACAACTACAGAGAAAACACACTCAAGTCAGTATCAGTCAAATAATTCAGGAATCTTTACTGAAGTGGACGTAGAAGCTGATATAAACCTCCCGTAAAGATCGATTAGCTGGATTTCGTAGGGACCGATCATACACTGACCAAATCTCGGCAGTGAAGATCTTGTGAATGGAACTCGTAACCATACATCAGCTTCCTAGACTGTGAGAACATGATAGTATTGTCAGCATTAAACAAGATAACTAAGAGGGACTGAATTTCAAAGCAGTGTTCGGAGGATCGCTAACGAACACATCTCAAGTGAAGAATGGTTTCAAACAACGCTGTCTGCAATTACATCTGTCTCTACAGGCTGTCGATTAGCTTATGAAAACCTACATACAGTGAACATTTTGCAAAGCCAGCAACAACCTTCTGTGTGAGAAAACAAACCAGATTCCAGCAGAGGGAGAAACTTGGAAAAGACTGCAACGTTGAATAGGACAAACATTGAGGAAAGCGCCCAGCTGTGTCACAGGACAAGACCTCACTTGGAATCTTCAAGGCCAAAGGAGTTAGACAATTTTTACCCCTCACTAACACAGTCTGAAAATCTTGTGTTAATTTATCTGAATAGATTAACTTCAACAAAAGGCTCCCGTCTACTTTTATTTATAAGAGAAATAATTTCAAATGAATTTTATCCTGTTGTTTATTAACATTGCTACATTCTTCAACCTATATTGGACTTACAGCATTTTGCTACACAAATATGCGTAGAACGTCAACGCCAAGTAAAGTCAAGATAAAAAGTCGCCTCGCCATACTATCAATGTAGCAAACAAACACTTTCAAAAAAATTTATCATTTCAGTAATAAATCCATTTTTTTATTAACAATATTAATGCGATAATCTTTTAAATGAATACAATGTAATACGTGACCTGAATTTTTAGCAGTAATTAATTATTTCGGCCGAACAGTCATAAAATAATGGATTATTTTTCGTTATTTTCATCTGCTAATTAATTTTTTGTGTATCTATTGTCTAAACTTGAAGAAATTGGAAGAATTCGGCAAAAATTCAGTCAAAAGAATCGAAAAAATATACTTAAAGCTACCTATACTCAATGTATCACATGCAGTCAGAGAAACCAATATGTAAAACAAGACCATCAGAATTTGATTTGGAATATCTCAAGATAGATTTTTTATTTCCTTCTATGAATGTAGTGTACTTCGATGGAAGAATTCTAATATTATGGCAAATAACCTTATTGTTAAGCGTATTCCACCTATTAACACGGCTCAGTCCAATTTTCAATAGTTATGTGGATTTGTTTCGTGTTCTGGCTCGGCCGACCCTAGCTCTCTTCCAGCCTACTCCTGCACTGCACAGCATAGCCCGTTAAGGTAGTCAGTAATTGGGAATACGTAACAAATGTCCCAACCACCTTAACTAATGAAGATTCACTGCATCGACTGATTTGTCATCCTTACCTAATGCCTTTCTTCTTAACCCCGGAATCGCTTGCTTGGTAGGCCCAGGATATACGCGCAATACTTTGAAGACAAATGTGGTCGAAAGCCAGTCACCTAAGAATATCCTCTATTATTATTATTATTAGCCATATTTCACACCCATAAAGTAGAACGAAGTGAACTACTGTGTAGTAAACTCGTCCTTTTGGTAGCAGGAGGACATCTCGCCTACACCATAAGTGACTCAGGTTCACAAAAGTCAATCGAGTCCTCTGTATCTGTACCGAGATTTCATCACATATCAGGCTATTAGGGCTAATAGGTTTCCTAAGATGAATGGAGTGGTTGACACGCTCAACTACTTTACTTCTCATCACTAGTGCAGGTGCCGACAAAGACCAATCCTGATGCAACATTTTGCAGTTTGTAAGGGAGAATCGTATCCCGAACATGCTTGCATTGTGGCTTAGGATAGTCGGGAGACACTGCATTTTGTCAGCGTCTTCACCAAATAAAACTGTCATCGACATACTCTAAGTTAACAAGTGAATCTCCTGGTGGAAGATCAACCCTGAGAAGTCAGACGATCAAAGTGTCGCCTCTAAGACCATGCCGACGACAAAGTTGAATAAGGATGAAGAAAGTGGACAGCCCTGACGAACACCACTCGAGGTTATCAATTCCGTTGACAGCTCGCCGTAAGCTCTGACTCGATCAGTTGTATTTGAGTAGACAGCCTGTACAAGGTTAATGTAGTTTCTTGATGCGCTTTTCAATGACAGACACTGTCAATAAACCTCATGATCAACAGAGACAAACACCGCCATAATTTGAGGAATACAACCATGGTCGGAAGTAAGCCGATGTGTGAACATTTTGTCTATACTTCCATGTACAGGTCTGAAACCAGCCTGCTCTTCACAAGTTCTATTTAGTCGTTGAATTATTATATTTTAGACACTATATTAGTTAAACTGATTCCTCTGTGATTTTCACAAGAGGACGTTAGTCCTTTCTGACTGACTGGGACAATCAGCGATTGCGATCATTCAGATGGGATTACTTGCATTTACCAAATCCTACCCAATATATCAGTCAATCTAACTACTAATTCTGAACTATTTTCCTTGAACATCTTAGGGGTAGTCTATCAGGACCTGCTGCTCTCCCTCTCCTTAAATTGCCTATAGACTTTTCTGTTTCATTCAGAGTTGGAGAACTTACATCGATTTGCCGTTCAGGTTGACTAGAGATTGTCGGTAACTGTAGGCCAGTTAAACTGCTTGGTAATGAGCAGTGGGGTTTTGTCGAAGCTCCCAATCACTGGCTGATAACAGTTTATTCTGTCCGTGTCCAGGATAGTGTAGTTTGTAAATTGATGGTCGACTACCTATACTCTTCTGAAAGTAACGGGTGTAAGTAAGGAAAGGTAGGAAAGATAGGTTTCGGGAACTACGGTTTCTCAATTTTGTTATCTGATGAAAACTTCACCTAGGAAGACTGTGAACGCTTCGTAACTAAACGAACCATCTCATAGTAACTGCACGCTAACAAACCAGAAAGTTTATTGAATTTTCCATCACTACACTCCCATCACAAGACTTCATGTATTCTGAGAACTGATGTTTAATCACATGGTTGTCTTTTGTGAGTTTGATGTTAGAGATATGGTGCATAAATCTACAAAATCAGAACTATTTCGAACCAGTCAATTCCAGTAATCCTACGCAACAAATGTAAGATTAATTTTCAAATGTGGTTTAATTTTAGATCCTTAGCTTCAATTCAATTGGTAATTGGATTGTAAAAACAAATATG